TACAGGGTGTTCCATTTAAATTAAAGAAGTTATTGCTGTTTAAAGCTAGTTATTATTTAAAATAAATTTTTAGACACTCTGTATAAGGTAGTATAATTGTTATTATTGCAACACAAAATTTAGCAAATAGAAATACTTCAGTACAATATTTGTAATAATATACAGGGTGTTTTATTTATTTAAAAAAATACAACTTTGATATTTTTTATTTATTTGAGCCACTCTGTATCTTTTAAAAATATTTTTAAATTGTAGCTCTAATAGTCCTTCAACGAACACAAAACTTACAATTTGCAAAAATCTAAAAGTTTAGCTACAATACTCCATGTCGTATGTGGTGAATAACCCTGTATAGTGTAGGTAGTAAAGTTTTGTTAAAAAATGAAAATATTAGTAGTAAATTGAATCCGTTATACATAGGTTCATAGGAAGGTACGTAGGAAGTAGTAGGGGGAGGATAGAAATCCAAATTTGGTATTAGATATTAGTAATAAACATTAAACATGTTTATTGGTTCATAAAAATAGAGTTAAAATTTATTATGATTAATGATGTTAATTTAGTTAGATTAAATGATGAAGTTAGTAATTGTAAATAAGAATTTAGATCAATAAAGTGTGTTACTGTATTTCAGCTTATGATGTAAGAAAAAAATCCTCGCCGGGAAGGTGTACTGGGAGAATCGTGTTATTCTTTAAAGTCATTGACTTTTAATTGCTATTAATAATGTTGCAATAATGACGACAAACGCCCCGCATAGCTCCCTGGGGCCATAGACTTAAGTTGGGTCAATGGCTTGTAATATTGCTGATTCGCATTTATATATATAATTGGAATATTATATTGATTGTAATAAATAGTTAACTGAAAACCATGAACGATAATGTTTCATTTTCCGTGCGCTAAGCAGGTCTTTACATTTTGGTCAATAAAATAATAAGAATAAAACAAACGCCACTAGATACCTCTTAAAAAGATCGTAAAAATTCAAAAAATGAGATGAAGGGTACCTGAAATTGCAACATTTTCAAAATTACCCAATATTATGTAAACAAGGTCATAGTCATGACAATTTAGTTGCGGCATCACAAAAAGATATTTCATGTTCGCGAAAACCGCAAGATTCTGTCTTTACTAATAACAAATTAGCAGTTTCTATTTTGATTGCAAATAACTCATTTGCATCCAAAATGAGAAACTGTATACAATACAAAAGATAATACGTTATAAAATTCAATATAACTTTTCTTTCAACAAACACCATTTTTAGAAAATCTATTGTTTAAAATCACCCATGTTTTACATCATCAAAAATAGAAAAAAATAAAATATTTATTCTATTCCTCCAGCTAGAGTGTTCATAAATTATTTCGTCTTAAAAATTAAAGACTCTAAATTATAGACTTCATTCAGAACCTCGCAATTAGTGGAATAAATTAGTGGTTTGAATTACACTTAATACTTTTTAGTTTACGATCATTCACAATGTCTAAAAAACACAATTAAAATTAATAGAATATCCCAGCAACAGCTTGCGTTAGTCAGTTGTATCCATAGAGAAAGCCCAATATTTAGCTTATACCGTATGATCGAATAAAAACGGCGTCAGCGATAGCTATGAAATGAAGATCGCTGTCATTTTATATGTAAACTTATATTGGAGATGTCATCGATGATCATTTCCAAGCCAACTGGACGCCATTTTTTTCGATCATCTATACTAATATATAACATACATACATACATACCGCCATTACTCGCTGACGAGTATTTGACACGCATCAGAAGATGGTCACGCAAGGCGTTTTCTTTCATGAGCTTTCCTGTGACTGAAAAGCCCGATACGTGATCTGTCTACCGCACTCCAGACATTCAAAAATCTCATTGCTTTGTTGCCTCTTTACTTTTTGGTTGTCGCTCTTAACTGACTTTACAATTCTTCTCCATTCCGTTCTATTGTGAGCTGCGTCTTCCCACTCATTCTGCTTGTTAATTCCCTTTAAGTTTTCGTGGAAAATATCCTTGAACCTTTTGAGTTGTCCACCCGGCCTCCTCTTACCGTCTACAAGCTCACCGTAAAGCAGAGATTTTGGTATGCGGTTTTCTTGCATTCTGCATACGTGACCAGCCCATCTTAAGCGGGACTTTGTAATCATGACTTCAATACGCTCTAGCTTTTTCAAGGACCGATAAGTTTGAGACATGATGGAACCATTTTATTCTTAAGAGTTGTCTAAGATGTCTCTGTTGCAACTTGTTTAATGCGTTCATGTGTCGACGGTACGGCACCCAGGTTTCGCTTCCATATAGCATGGTGGGAATTAAGGCTGATTCATGGTACACCGGGCCGTACCCGAGCCGGGCACGTTCCGTAAAGTAGACACCGAGCCACGTCCGGGCCTTCAATATAAGGCTGATTCATGGTACACCGTGACGGGCCGGGGCCGTGCGACGGTGAAGGCACGGCCAAACATTGTAAATGGTATTTATACCTATGCATTCATGCTAAGCCGAGCACGGGCCGAGCTTCGCCGGAACCCGTCCGTGCCCCGTCCGAGAAATGTCGGTGTACATTTTTCCTCGGATCCGCTACGGTCCGGCCCCGTTGCGGCAAACATAAATGAGTCGCCCGGGCTAAATACTTCGTTCGCCTACGGGCCTATAGCGACTGTTTTCTAGCAGTGTTGCCGCACCCAACTTTTAGCGCGTACCACATTATAAACTAAAAATGTACCACTTTGGTACAATTTTTTAAAGCACAACAAAATACATCTGCAAATGACTTTAACCGGTTTGGTCGCTGTGAATTTCTTCATAAATTTCTACATAAAAAAAACTTCCTGGAGAAAGACACAAATCGAGACGAAAAACATGAAATAGAAATTCAGAAAACCCAATTATAAGTATGTATAGGTTGAAGAAATCTAAGTAATTCTAATACTACACACAATACTTGGAAAACTTAAATTTTATTAAAAAAAAAACGCAAATATAGAAGCATGTTAGAAACAGTAAATGCAACGCTATGGACATTACAACGTTTATAATACGTCGTTAATTAATGCGGATTATCTCCGAATGGTATCGGTAAGCGCGTTTAATGCAATATCAACGACAATAATTATTAAATATCTATTCATTTTCGGTGCGCGTGGGAAATAATTATTGTACCAAATTATCCTGGATTTGAAAATGTAGTACCACTGTACCAAATAGAATTAAAAGTATCAAATTTGGTACAAATGTACCACTGCGGCAACACTGTTTTCTAGAATATAATCGGCACGGACATGATCCCCGTTGTCCACTCGGTGTAGCATATAATTATCGCTCGGTACACCGCCAGTTTCGTTTTTGTGCTCAAGTCATGATTGTAGAAAACCCTGTCTTTTAATTTCCAGAATGCTCTTGAGGCGCTGCTAATCATGTGCTGAATTTCAAAGTCGATATTGGCCTTTTCCGAAATCAAACTGCCGAGGTAATTGAATTCCGCTACATATTCCAACAGCTCATCTCCGATTTTTATAGCACTGTTGTGTTCTTCCGGGGGAGTGCACATGATTTACACTAATATACAAATTCCTTAAGTGACTGACATACTGATTAATCACGATCATGCTCAAACCACTCAACATAAGAAGCTCAATTTTGGCATACAGGTTGATTCTAGGGTGTAGAGGTTCGATAAGAAGGGATTTTTCGAAATTCCAGTTCCAAGAGGATGAAACCTTGGTGAAACCACCCCTCAAATATTACAATATTTTTTATTTAAAAAACGGTCAAATTTCCGAAAAAACGCTTAAACGCGTATATTTTATTTTGTTTTCTTACATATTTTAAGATTTTTTTAAAAATGTATACAGGGTGTTTCGAAAAATCTGGTCATTGATTAATCACGATCCTGCTTAAAACGCTAGACGTAAAAAGCTGATTTTTGGAAAACAGATTGACTTCAGGGTGTAGAGGTTCGATAAGAAGAGATTTTTCGAAACTCGAATTCTAAGGGGGTGAAACTATCCCTCAAATATTAAAATATTTTTTTTATTTAAAAACCGGTGAGTTATTCGGAAAAACTCTTAAACACGTATAATTTATTTTGTTGTTTTACATATTTTAATATTTTTTATAAATTTATACAGGGTGTTTCATAAAATCATTGAGTAATCACGATTCTGCTTAAACTGCTTGACGTTTAAAGCTGATTTTTGGCAAACGGATTGACCGTGGGGTGTAGAGGTTTGATAAGGAGGGGTTTCTCGAATCTCAAATTCCAAGAGGGTGAAAATGCCCCTCAAATATTACAATATTTGTTATTTAAAAAACGGTTAGTCTTTTGGGAAAACGCTTGGACAAGCATAATTTATTTTGTTTTTTACATATATTGAAATTTTTTAAAAAATCATACACGGTGTTCCAAAAAGTTGTGTAATTTCTTAACCACGATTCTGCTTAAACTGCTTGACGTAAAAAGCTTATTTTTGGCAAACGGATTTTTCGAAAGTCAAATTCCAACGAGATGAAACTACCCGTCAAATATTACCAAGTTATATAATAATATCGCCATATTGTTTTTTCTCATGCTGACATAAATGTTAGAAAATTTTATCCAGTTTGTATATTAATGGCAATTCTTGCTTTGCTTTATCATCACCATTACAAATGATTAATTCGACGCGAACGAAGTCGCTGGTACACGCTAGTACGGTATATAACAATTAACTTTAGATTTCTAACCACACTTTCTCTTGGCGGAAGATAATCAAAGGCGAAAATGACATTTCTCGCAAATTAAGTATAATTAGTGGAAAAGTTAAAAATTTGATAACTTTTTCTACTAATTGAGAATGCCTACCACTAATTTTAACTTTCTGAATGCTTACATTGAAATTAAAGGAACAAACTTCTACGGTAATTGAAACCACTAATTTATTCCACTAATTGCGAGGTTCTGAATGAAACTTAAGATACATATTTTTCTCCATTACATTTTTAATACTTACTTTGACAGTTACTTCGTCAATATCTCTGTCAAAAAGGATCCTGATCCAAATACCGTGTAAAATGTGAGGACTACTCACTACCAACGTAGCATCTAGTCTACCCTCACCATCTGCATAATCGTACTGGACTATTTCTGGGCATGGAGATATCGGCAAAGGGTTGATAGACTCAGTAACTGGACCACCCAATGATGAATGTAACATTGAGCATGTCAACACCAAAGCAATGACCTTGTACATCTATAGAAAATGATATAGGTTATACAGGATGTTTCAAAACAGATGCAAAATGTCTAAGAGCTAAATCCTTGTTCAAACTAAGGGGCAGTTTGTTACATTCTTAAATGTGCTACCCCAATAACCTTTTTATTTTTTGAGATAAAAACGACATTTGGCATGTTAGTGTATGAAATAAATTAGGATTGATTGACGTATTCAATTGTTTTTGGTCACTTCCTGTCTCACCGGAAATAACTACAACTTTTGATTTGTAAATGACACCCTCGGTCTTTTTTTACTTTATTCGATAGAAAATGATAATCTGAATAGAATGGCATATAATATGTCGACTTCTGACATTTTCGCACATGGTTTATTTGATATTGTAACATGCGGTTCAAACGACAATTTGACTCGAAATACCAAGTGTGTGGTACCAAATTATTCGTAAAAAATGCCTTTTTCAAATATGCTAATGAGCTACCCTTGTTTCATTTGAAAATTTAGATATGATTAAAAATACGATTAGGGCATCTTTTAACCGGCCATCAGGACAAGACACGAAAAACACTAGGCGATCACATATATTTTTGCAAGGCTCCTTGATTAAAAATTAGTGTTTTTAACACAGCCATGGCACTTTAGATTGAAATTTAATATACGATTTTTTCGTAACCAAAAACATCAAAAGTTGATATATGATATGTCATTCTATTCAGAGTGTCATTTTCTATCGAATAAAGTAAAAATATACCGGGGGTGCTATTTAAAAATCAAAAGTTGTAAATCATTTCCGGTGAAACAGGAAGTGACCAAAAACAATTGAATACGTCACTCAATCTTAATTTATGTCATATACTAACATATCAAATCTCGCTTTTTTATCTGAAAAAATAAAAAAAGTTATAGGGGTGAGGTGAGCTACGCACACGGTATAGTCGATCATTACGGAGATTTTGCGGTATAAAGATAACGCAAAATGATTCCTTTGATTTTTTATCTTAGAAACAAAAATCTATAAACATATAAGCTATGTTAAAAAAAAATATTAGAAACGCCTTAAAAAGTAGCTAATTTTTTTTCTAAAAAATTGCCCTGTTTCGACACAAGTATAAAAATGATTGGTAAAAAATTGATAAAAACAAGTATTTTTATCTTCAAAAATTCTTCAATCTTCAATTCAATGTCAAACAAAAAAACCCGTATGGACGCCACTGTTTAAAATAAATAAAATTGTTTGTTCATCAAAAAGGTCATTTTGATGCATATAGGTATATGTTTCATAAAGATATCTATAATACCATTAAAGTGATTATGAAAGAAATTGTTTTTTTTTTATTTTACCACCCTGCATCTCAAAAGTTAAAATGGTTAGGGGGTATACCACCACGATCTGTTTAGGGTCACCATCTTAAATATTAGCATGTCATTAAAGAACAACCTGTATATTTTTTTAATTATACAGGCAATGACGGCAATAAATCTTTCATTTAAAAAACATACAATCAAAGATTAATTATTATGAAAGACAGTAAATAAATATATTTATTTTAAATTTAAGCACATAGAAAACTGAGAAATAATAAACTTACCTTGAACTTGGACAAACCAAATCAAAACAAGCAGAATTGGGAACTCTCAGAACGATGGTACGGATATGTACTAACCACAAAGACCAAAGAAAGAAGCGAGGAAAGAAGGTACTGACCGGTTGTACTCTGCGATATATTATTTTTATATTGATCATGAACTTGTTTTTACCAAGACGCCTCAAGGTAGCATGGATTGCTGGTATTCCCTATGAGTTGCTTTGCTTACGAATATAGAATAAGTACGTTTATTTACGGTTTAGTACATTAATACGACTAAAGTCCCGTCTACACATAACATTTTACCTGTCAGTTCTACCTGTTCAATTAAAACGTATCAAGTAAAACCTTGTGTGTAGACGAATAAATGGTCCGTTTTACTTGAAATTAATTAAGACAAAGACCGCCTAGAGTACTGACGGTATAGATTCTATACTAATATATAAAATCCTTAAGTGACTGACATACTGATTAATCGCGATCCTGCTCAAACCACTCAGCGTAAGAAGCTCAATTTTGGCACACAGGTTGATTCTAGGGTGTAGAGGTTCGATAAGAAGGGATTTTTCGAAATTCCAGTTCCAAGAGGGTGAAACCACCCCTCAAATATTACAATATTTTTTGTCATTTTGTATATTGTCATGTTTCCGAAAAAACGCTTAAACATGTATATTTTATTTTGTTTTTTACATATTTTAAGATTTTTAAAAATGTATACAGGGTGTTTCAAAAAATCTGATCATTGATTAATCACGATCCTGCTTAAAGAGCTTGTCGTAAAAAGCTGATTTTTGGAAAACAGATTGACTTTAGGGTGTAGAGGTTCAATAAGAAGGGATTTTTCGAAACTCGAATTCTAAGGGGGTGAAGCTATCCCTCAAATATTAAAATATTTTTTATTTAAAAACCGGTGAGTTTTTTCGGAAAAACTCTTAAACACGTTCAAACGTGTTAAACAAAACTTCATTAAACGCAATGTTATAATTGACAAAACCACAGGTAAAACTTCCAATATACAGGGTGGTCCGAACTGTATTCCGGAAACTTCGGAAGAACATTCTGCAGATAAAAATAAGTAAAAAAGTTCGTCTAAATGTATGTCCAAAATGCTTAGTTTCGGAAATACAGGGTGTAGTATAATATAAGTTTCATTTTTATTTCGCTTTTTTTCTAAATAAAGGTTGATTCTCACTATACCTTCCATATCAGCTCCCTTCCGTTTACATAAAATATATTATGTAAATGAATAGGACAATGCACACTATCCGTTCCGTTTCCCTTCCGTTCCATATCCTTTCCTTCCATACATTTTTTGGCGGACGGATTGAAGCGTATCGGAAACAGCGTTGCCAAGTTCTTACATTTGTACCAGCTCTGTTAAAATCTTGCTGATATTTATTTATTCTTTCGCCTCTTAATTAAATCTATTACCTTTTTCAAAAGATACAAATTTTTAAAATAAAACTATCGTAATGATATAAATTGTACAATAAAAAGTATGGAACTGGTACGGAACGGAAGCTTACGTATAGGGTCAATATAATAAAAATACGGAAAAGATATGGAATGGAAACGGAAGGTATAGTGAGGGAGAATCAACCTTAATTATGAAGTAACGTCAATATTTGGATGAAAATTAGTGTCTGAGAGTTTTTTGACATGAATTTTATTTTGATGTGGAGTGCTTTAAGCCCTTATGAGATACAAACTTCGGAATTCATTTACTGTGAACGAATTTCTATAAAACTGTTTGCATTGTATTAATAAGATATATTATAGTCTGTGAAATGAATAACTTTGAATTTGACAGTTCCTCGGGCTTTTTTAGTGTTTATTTTATTAGATTAGCAACTTGCAGCCATGCTGACGCAATGCCGTCTCTAATAGAACAGCCACAGAGCGGGATTTATGACGTCACGCTAGTTAGATACTACGGATTAATAAATATGTTGTAGAATACATGGAAAACATAATTATTCTTCGTATTTTTGGTTTGTATTTGAAAAACAAACTTTGATTTTAAAATATAATAATAATAGCTCCCGTATATAGCGTTTAACGCCTTGGGAGTAGCAACCCATACAGCACGTCCAAATGAAATTACGTTTCTACAAGGGAGACACATGAGAAACCAAATATGTTAAAGTGAACCTAAGTGTTCATCTAGTTCTAACATATACATATAAGATACACGCAGATTTATATTGATAGAATTGTGTGATACAGTGTTTACTAGTTGTATACCGTATTCACTCAAGATTCTAAAGAGTTTTTTGTAACGTAACAAATAATTATTAAAATGATGAAATCTGACGTCGGTATATGAGACATACAATGTATATGTCATATGTATGTGTGATACTTCGTATCATAGTTGTGCCTATAGTACATACCTTGTAAAAATGTGACGTTTACACATAATGTAAATTTCTATATAGACACTTTGTAATAGTGTACTGTTGTGTCTACATTCTAGCATGAAATGAAGGTGTGCGCACGCGCGGATAGCCTCAGCGTAGATACACCGACCAAGTGTATCTTTATGTGTTCTCTCTCCTTTCTCCTTTCTAGGAGTGGTATGTGTTAGCAGCCATTATTGTTTTATAATTCGGAAGCTCTATATAAATGTTCTGTTTGTGTGTAGTTTAAAAGAGATTTTAAGGTAAGCACAAGTTTTTAATTGCCTTGTTACACCTTCCTAAGAGTATTATTAATATTATAGCAGCGACTCTTCCCTTACTCGATATCCAATTTACCAAATTTTGACTCCAATGAATGAAAACTCTAAATATTCTCGTATAATGATAAAGAGGTTAGCTCTGCAATATAATTTTTTTTAATTTGAAAATAATAAAAATCTAAATGAACCAGAGAAAGAAAGATTTAAACACTTCAAAGAACTTCTTACACTGATATTCGGTTTATTGATGGATCAAGTTATTGATGGATCAATATACAGGTATGTTTAATATTCAATAATCAGTTTCATATAAAATTTAAGGCTGAGATTGTCAATCTGGATTGTTAATCTCGATGAATGAGTATGCTAACAAACCAACTGCTTGGAGGGAAAAGAAGAGAAAAAATGACTAAACGAGGTCCACCAAATCGTGGCGATATACCAGTGTTTACCATTTTAGTATGTTGTTATACTAGGTACTTATATTTTTAATACATTTTGATAAAATTCTGTTCTTTTACAGTGTTTTCTTACTGCTGGTTTCTGCAGTGTAAAGAATTATTATTATTGTGTTATTTACGCTATTGCGTTTCATGATATAAAGAAATATAAGAATTTTATTTTTAACCACTTAATCCATTTTATGGAAAAAAATGGTACATTTAATACAAAACAAAAATGGAACAATTTTAAGGCTACTTCTCTTGAACTTACGATCGAGATACTTTTAGAATATACAAAGTTTTGTCTTCCTAATTTTCGTTCTAAAAAGATATAATTGGCATCATTGAATAAATATTTATTAAAAAGAACGAAAAGTTAGGCATCAAAACTTGTATTATTTCTTAAATTCGTTCATAAGAAGTAGTTTTATCTAGCACAAGATGTATATACGAAGCAAAATACATACGTATACACGCAGTAGTCACAACTGCAATGTGTAAACAGAGTTTAAACGTAATACACAAGCACTGTGTGTCCTACGGCACACTGTGTATCCCTTACTTTGTGTATACGTAAATGCTATACTGTGGCTACATTGTGAGGCGGACGTTTAACCTTTGTGCATACGTGTTGTACTACAATGTGTAAACGTAGCATATTTACATCGGGGGAATTGTGTCACCCTGTGTCTACATCTAATAATGTAAACACATCGTAAATGTAATTTGATGTGCTGTATGGGAAGGTACAGCTTGCTATACTAGAGCCGTTCGGTATACAAGATTTTAAAATACAAACCAAAAATACGAGGAATAGTTATGTTCTCCATGTATTCTACAACATATTTATTAATCCATAGTATCTAACTAGCGTAACGTCATAAATCTCGCTTCGAGGCAGTTCTATTACAGACGGCATTGGTCTGATATTTAGAAATGTCAAAAGCTGATGACATTTTACCTTTGACAATTATGACATTTCGGGTTGATTTTTGGAAGAAGAGGAAAAACTGTCACTTGTTTTATTATTTTCCTTTTCTATTTCACGAAAGTAAAAAGAGTTACCTATCTGATTCGTTCAGGCACTCAATTTAAAGAATATCAGTAACTTTTTTGACAGAGGGATTTTATATTTGCCGTGTTGGTAAGAAATAACGGTCAAAATTCAAAGTTATTCATTTTATAGACTATACAAAGTTTACCCATTTAAATTCGTCGCTTTTTCTCAACGGACTATAAGAAGAAGATTAAATGAAGCAAATCTTATGCTTCGGGACCAGAACTTACTAGATGTGTTGACTAGGCTCAAAAGCAAAGGGTGGCAAAGGCATGGTCTTAATGAAAAAATTACGAAAAAATGTATAGGGTGTTCCATTACAAAAAACATAGCTTTGATGTGTAACTTTTTTTGGAGATACCCTGTAGAACTCTACATAATTTTAGAAAATGCATTAAATTGACTTACATAAGCTCACAAAATTTCACTTCATTACAAACTTTTGTTCTCTTTGCAAAAACCGCGTCGTATATGTCGCGCCACCCTGTATAATACGATTTCAATCTAAATTTCAATGATTGGAATATAAGCAGAACAGGTATAGCTTATGTATTAGATTTATTTACTTCAATAAATTTACTTAGAAAAAGAATTAAAAAAATCAAAAAATTAAGAAGGAAATAATTAAGAATTTACTAAAATTACTAAAATTAAAAATTAAAAGCAACGAAAGAAAATGGGTAAACATTTTAGTATTTTATCTATAAAACACAATACAGAAGGTTTCACACTAATACATTGACAGTAATTGAATTCCGAGGTAAAAGTCTCTGGGCACTCCACTATCAATATGACTCCTATTTGTAGGGGGCAATTTTTTTTGTATTTCTACCCACTACAAGTTATAATTGTACGGATAAAACCGAGCACAATATCCGAAGTGTATGAGGACTTATTAAGAGTCCATTTTACTAGTCCGAAAAACTAGTAAAATAAGCGATGGGCATTTAACGTTTTATGTAAAACTTGCTAGGTATTTTTACACAAATGACGAAGAAAATTAAAGATACAGGATTATAAATACTGTATCCG